TAACTTAAAATGGTAAAGTCGATTTATACATATTCTTCTATCATTACATGAATATAAAACATGATTAACAATCGTGTAAAAATCTTTGCAGAAAATCGGGTTAATAACTAAAATATGCTTTAACTTAAAATGGTAAAGCCGATTTATACGTATAGGGGATGATTATACTTAACAAAAATCTTTTTATTGTTTTTTTATATGTACATCCAATCCCCCCTCTTCCGAGATGTAGAGGGGGGTAATGTAAAACACAGAATCCAGTTGGTCTCGCCTAATGATCACTTTACGTGATGAGAATGGATGACTTAACGAACTTGTTGTCGTCTTTAGCTTTTATAATAAATACAATAATAAATATAATAAATATAATCTTCGCTATCCCAATATAAGAAAATTACATTCATTTATACTTTAATATTGTGGCCCAGTAACTAGATTGGCATCAAAGTTCATAAGTCTCTCCCGGACAGTGACACGTTGTCATTCATAATTGTATTTGTCTTCCCACGACTAAATTCTTTGGTTAGCTTTCGATTTTTCACGTGATACTATAATTTCGCATGAATAATAAATTCTCTGTCAGGTTAGGTTCTTTAAATATTGATATATCTTTGTGAAGAAAGGTTCGATTCATTTTGCTGTAAAATTGGAAATTTTTGAAGTAATCTACAATGTCCGATACCGAAGATATCATTTTTAACAAAGCTTACCGAATATTTGATACTGTCCCAGGCTTTGGAACTTTCTTTTCACTTGTCAGAGCAGTATGGTATGGATTTCATGGAAATATCAAGGAGGCTGCTATTTCGGCTGTTAATGCTTTTCAGGGATCAGTCTGTGACGCTCTAATATTTACTGGAATAGAAGAACCGCTCCGCATAATGGTTATCCATACAATGGTTGACAATACGGCAGATTTGATAGTGGATGAAGCTTTGAATGGCTGAGAAATAAAATTAATCATGAAAAGCTTGAGTTTGAAACCAAAAAAATGTTAGAAAAGAAAGAACATCCCCATATAAATCATGGTACAGAACAATATGTTTTTGTTGTTCATGATAATGAAGAAAATCAATTCAAAAAGGACATGGAACAATGCTTTAATGAAATGTGCCATATTGGTAGTCTTCATGGAGCATCTTACTCAGGAAAGATATCATACGAATCATGTATAACTAATAGAATGATTACTGTATTTTTACCATATGGATTGAAAAATGGAGGCCCAGTTAGTGTATATTTACAATATGGAAATCAAGACGCGTCGAGTGATGAGAACTTTAACCATTCGAGTCTTGGTAAATTAGAATATAAACGTGAAGATAAAAAAATAACAATATTTAAAAAGGATCATTATTATTATTATTATTTTACAGGAAATTTTAAACCTTTAAAGTTGGATGGACATCCAGTTCTAAAATACGGAATTCTTTCATTGAATATGATGAATGTAAAAAGTGAATTTATTACTTCGACAAATCTTTATATAGGTTTAGCAGAGAACATTCGCTTTTTTATTCCAGTGGAAAATAATAAATTTATGATTCCTTATAAAAATCAAAGAAATGCAAATATTGTTTTTAGAGACAGAATTAATGTGGAAAAAATTAATGCTATATTTTATTTTGACAATGCAAATGGAAGAATAGTGCATCTTCGTACTGGATTGGTATTGGAAACTGAAAGTAAAGAATCTTTAAGTTACGTTGTATTAAAAGATATTGATCATAGCGTAAATAAGAATGATTTTCAGAAATGGGATATAATATATTACGATAAGGGTCATTTTAAAATCTACTTAAGAGCTAACCATAATTTATTGCTGGACAGTGCCGATGAAGATAATAATCTCATGTTAAAATATAAGCATAAACGTGATCTGAATTGTCAGAATTGGAGTCTTGAACAAGTATGGAAAAAAATTGAAAAATTCTAAATTAAAGTCGACTGTATAAAAAAAAAAAACGGTTATTGAATGAACTATTAAGTTCTTTAGCTTTTTAAAGCCTTCATTAAATAAAATACTGAAATATATAAATCTGTTATATAATTTTTGTTTTGTTAAAAAAAGAAAAGTTTGGTAAGAAATTTTTATTAACAAATTCGGTAAAAGAATTTATTTTATAAAAGAATAAGTGGTTATCGATTGCAA